CAACAAACACTGTGGCGAGTGGGGATCATTACTCACCTAGAGTGCACAAATAAATATACCGGTTACAAGAAAAGATCAAATCAGATGAAAAAAAGAGTTAAAAAAAGAACGAAATAAATGATAAATAAAAGAGTGGAAATATTAATGAGTAGAAAAACGCAACAATGCGTAAGGGAGCGAAACTGATACTGGAGTGGATGGCTGGCGAGGGAGAGTTTGTTCGTCGCTGTGGAGAGGGCCAGGCGGAGTTGGGATGACTGATAGCACGGCGCTGATTTTGTTAGCGGAGCTTCCAACGGCGAATAACAGCCTGACGGTGACTGCGATGATAGTTGACTCTGTGATATACACGGCAAAGAGGCTGTTCTGTTCCTCTTTCCACCTAAACCCCCAACCCCCAAAAATCAAATCATAAGCTAGCTAGGGGAGAGAAAAAAGGAGGGTGGGTAGGTTCACCGGAATGAATGCGGGAGAACTCTTTTTCTATCTTTCTTTCTTTCTTTCTTAATATTTTCAATTCTTGTGCTCGATATAGACATTAGTCCATTTTTTTAAAATTTTTTTTTTTTTTTGTTATTGTTTTTTCTCTTTCGGTGATGGGCTGGTGGAAGAGGAAAAGAAAAGCCTCCCGAAGGAGAGGAGACAAGCGGCAAGAAGCGACCATACCATGGGACGTAGGTAAATCCCAGGCAGCATCGGCTTTGAGGGGAGAATCAATAATCATGGGAATGGAATGGAACGCGAACAGGGTTCGTGGGAAGTGTCGCTTTGCCGCCATCGCCGCCTCCGGGAACAGGCCAAGTTTCCGGGTTCAGGGCAGATATCCACCACCGTAGGCATCGGGGTGCAGGCAGCAGAGGGGGGCAGAGCAACAAAAGGGGGGTTGGGGCTCGGAGTTTCTTCGGAGAAATTTTCAGGATGGCTGGCTGGGGATGTGATGGAATGATTGATGGTAGCGGCTTGTTGCCTTTGCCTTTGCTTATGCGCTTGCTTACCTTGAAAAAGAAACTGGAAGGACTTTCTTCTGTCTAAATAAAGAATTTCAAAGACGGCTGGTCCGTAGGTTCTGCAGGCAGGCTGTTGCTGGTGAACTTATGTCTGCAACCATCGAAAGAGGAACGAACAGGTTGGAGAAGGAAAAAGGGAAAGGCAAGGGTAGAAAGAAGAGAGTGCAAGAGAGTGTGTTTGTGGTACGTATTAAAAGGCAATACAAAGCCTGTCGGTTCAAAGGGAAAATAAAAAGTGATTTATGCAATGGGGGTAGGCAAGGAACAGTGGAAGCAAGTAAATAAGTATCATATCATTGGCAAGAGAACAAGAGGGGAGATTTTGCGAATGAAGGAAGAATTGGCCGGAGCCTGAGGCAACAACTGTCCGGGCTTTTGTCTGTGTTATACGATGGATGGATGGATGGATGGATGGATGAATGCAGAGGCAGGCTCTCTACAAGCAGCTGCGTGCGGCCGGAAGAAGCTCGATGACACGGTTCATATTGATAGTATTTCCATGAGGAAGAGAAAAGAAAGGAGGAGGAAGCAAGAGAACTCAGAACTCAACGTCTACAATTGGCGGCGGGGAATCTTGCAACCCCATGCTGACCACCAGCAAATCAGTTTATATCCTGGATGGTTGAATACGATATTCCATTCTCCTCTTTCACTGCTTACGGATGTCGTTGTCGACGATACTAGGGCTATTGTTCTTTTTAAAAATAAACGAAGAACGAATGTTTAATACAGAGGACGTTATTCATCTACTGTTTCGTGCCCCTCTCTCGTTGAAAATAAAAGAGAGGACGTGAAAGATAATCTCTGTGTCGAGGAAAGAGTTAAAAATAAAACCGAAACATCAACCACAGAAATACATCATCTGTCCTCTCCTCCCCACCATTTTCAAGCGCACGGATTTGCCCATTATGCGGATGCCTCGAGGGTTCTCGTCACCCTTCAGGTTCCAACGCAGCGATCACCGCCCTGAACCACGAATCCTCTCCCCAAGGGCCCCCACCTCAACATGCAACCGCCACCAGGCTCCCTTGATCCTGGTTTTGATTGGTGTATTATCAATAATACTGTCCCACAGCTAGGGAAACTAAAGACAAGGGGACACCCGCACGCAGGCTGCTATCGATGCCTGCCAGCATATGCGTGTGGACTTTGCCAGAGGAAGGGTGGAGTTTCAACAACTCCTCTTGCGAGTCAACGCTAACATAAGAGCATACATGGAGCGTACATTTTAACGATGTTCGATGTCCGGAAGAACACGTGTTGGTGATTTGAAAAGAGGGGGGTTCCGATCTATACAGAGAATATCTTTCTCTCCCCCCAACCCCCCCACAAAAAAAAAAAACCACTTCTCAAACCTCCAGTCCGTTGGAACCAGTATCCAGCCATCGGGAGGTAATCGGAACCAGACATCCAGCATGGCATCCATGGATCCATCATCGTCGTCACCGGGCGACGAGCCAATGACTCAAAACAAGTGGCCCGCCTCGCCTACAAGTCGCCAAAACAACAAAGGAAAGGAATCGCTATCCAGCGATCGGGGCTTGGGGAAAGGGCACTCAAAACTGCAACCAGGCTCGTTTGGGGATTGGGTGGGGTTGGCTTTTGGCCACCACTGCCTGTTCTATTCCTTTTCCGTGTGCTTTTTTCTTTCGGGACTAGCTTCGATTGGGTGTGTGGGGCTTGGTAACAAGTCTGCGTTGATTACGGAGTAGTCGTTGGAGGAAGTCCATATTAGGCCACTAGGGCAAAAGGGCTCAATCACCACCTGCGCCGTGTCACCCAATCCAATCCCCCAACAGTCCAAGTCAGACCGTTCTCGAGTCAGCTGATGTTGCCTGCCTTGGCCGGACTGGGCTGAGTCGATCCATGAACGTAGTCGCAGTCTGAAGAATGCTCTCGTATGATCCCAGATGTTGTGATCGAATTGTATGATGATGTTTACTCTTGCTTGACTCATTTGTTTAGTTGAGGAGAACGAAAAATGAGGGAGCAATAGGGTTTTAAATCAGAAAAAAAAAAAAAAAAAAAAAAAAAAAAAAAAAAAAATCACCCTTTCTTCGAACAGAACCTCGATCACCCCTCGTGTTTTCTCTCTCATTTCTGCATGGCGCAGGCATCTAAAAATAAGAAACTGACCTACTGCGTACTAAACCCATCTGTGCTACTCTTGATTTCTAAATTCATCCTTGACTCGAGCATCACGAGCCTTGATTTGTAAAAATACAAACACCAAGCAACAAGATCAGTCAGTCAGTCAGTCAGCCAGCCAGCCAGCCATCAGCACGAAATTATTCTGCGTAGTCCTCGTAAAATCTCACAGCCCCAGAAATGTTCACAAAGCTTCTCTTTTCAGATTTCCCCAAGAAGAAGATCATATCGGTGACGGCATTCTTCCATGGAAATGAAACAGAATATTCGTTCTGGCCAGCTCGCCGTATGAGAGGGAACCACGCGCAGGCACCAGCCTCCCTGAGATACGCACGTCTCCGTCCTCCTGCTGAAGAAACGGACAAATATAAGTAAGTAGTTACGAAGTACTCCGTGGGAAAACAGCAAATGTGCCTCCTAACTCCCATTATTCAAGAACAAACTGGTGGTGGCTCGGATCTATCCAGAGAAATTTTGAACCATGCGATCGATGGATAGATCGATGATTCAAACTTGGAGCCCATGATCAGCTCTGCCAAGCTAGCCGTCAAGGTATTAATAATAGCATTTGAGATTAATATCAGATACGAAGAATAGATACAGGGTGAGTGAGAGTCTGAGAAATCAAGCAAGGGAACCTTCCTCTGGAAGAAGAATGTGGCTAGTATGTTATAGTTTAGTTGGGCATGACTCATAATCATGTGACGTGCGCAAGGGTTTGGATTGGTTCAACATGGCGCGAGTTGGTGGAAGAAGGGACGATCCGACCTCCAGCATCCATGAATACCTTGGTACACAAGCCCTATCCCACGTGACTCCCACAGACTGAATACATTAGCTTTATCTCAGCATGCTCAGCCTCTCTTAATATTTTCAGATTAGCGCAGTCAACTAAACTTCTTTAGACTTCTGCCAAGTCCTGCTAACTTTTGAACCAATTAATTACTCCACATATGCTCACAATTTAATATCTTATAAAGAGTCTGAGAAGAAACAGTTTCATCATCTGTGAAAAATCAAACCCATTTATACAAAATATTCAATTGATTTTAAAATCATACATCTATTTTAAATATTTGTCTCATTATTTTTAAATTGATATTTTTTGAATTTTTAACCATCTCACTGTAAAAGATGGGCTACAAGAGTAATTACAAAAGTAGTGTGAAGTACGCACAAAGGATATTAAGAAGGTAGCAATCTCTATTGTTCAAAGCTAATCGCTGATCTCCTAAAATCCACGGATATCAGCGAGCATTATATAGATAATATTGCCATCGCCACGTATCTATCGCCACGTATTTATCGCCACGTATTTATTTCCTAATATAGATATCTCCGTTGCGCTTATTACAGGGATTCAGATTAATATCAATATCATAGAATGTAGAGGTCAGATTAAAATAGAATGATTTATTAATCTCTAAAAGATTGAACCAGCTGCTATCTATATACACAGTATTGTAAGCAGATCAAACTTGTTATGATGTAGATGGTATAATATGATGTAAGTGGCAAGATAATGCTTTGATTTCAAATCTGATATGATGTTGGCGGTGCTATGTTCAGCGATGTCATATCTTTAAAGCTAACTATCACTAATTCCGGCCTAGTACTGACACCTTAGTGCGGGTTTCTTACAATATAATTATCAACTCAACATTTCATCTGATATTTATAATGTCTTTCATATAAACCTGCTTCAATTCACAGCTGAGAATTCATTCCTCTCACAGAGAATCTTTAACTGACAGCCATCTGCCATCATAAAAAAAAATAATGAACTTGAATAAGAGATTAAAGTGATCCTTGATGATAGAACCAACTACCACCACTGTGAATACCTTGTCAAATGAATAGAATACAATCGCTTAACCTGGGAACTTGCATTCATCATGAAGGACATCACCGCTCTCAACGTCTATGAGTCATCACTCACTTCAATAAGAGGGGATAATATGATGGGTTAGCATTTATTAATAATTAACTTATGCAATCAACTTCTTCTGCCTCACACTCTATATTTATGTAGTTCCTCACATTCTGTATTTATATAATTTTAATGATTCTTTCACATGTTTGTGTAGTTTCTCATACTTTGCATTTATGTAATTTTAATATTTCTTCTATATAATTTTCAATGTTTTTCTGTTTCATATTTCACTGTGAAGTAACTTCTGATATTTTTTTACTTTGATTTTTTTTTTATAAAAACTCTTTTTATACAATCTTTTCTTCTGATCTCTTTTCTCTTTTTTTAATCAATTCATAATCTGTATTTAAAATAGTGTTAGATCGTTAATTGATATATATATCTGTTACAGTTTAAATAATAAATAAGATGTCATTATAATTATATTTCATATATCAGAGTATTCAAATTTGTTTTATATATGATTGAAGAGTACATTTAGAATCTGAATGTGAGTTTTGAAGAATTCATTAAAAGCAATATTCAATAACATTTTGTTGCTGGTTGATATTTTCAGATTCAATATAACTTATAATCATTTTTGATATGTTTTCAATTTTTAAAAAGAGTATTTATTTTAATGATAGCTTTTGAATCTGTTATTGTTGCTGACTTTTGCATTTTCTTCAATCTTTTTTGATCATATTCAATAGAGTTGTCTGACCCAGCTATCAATAAATAATGTTCTGTGATTGATTTATAAGTTGTCAAAATTGATTCAGAAGTTGTTAAAAGATTTTAGAAATTGTTAAAAAATTTTAAAAGTTGTTGAAAAATTTCAGATGTTGTCAGAAATTAATGTGCTATATGAAATGATCAAGAGTTATTTATATAAAGTTAACAGAAGTTGACAGAAGTTGTTGAACATCATTAAAAGATATTAAAAATCATCAAAAAATACATTCAATACTTTAATTAGAATTACTGATGACTGAATATATGTTTTGATAACAAGATTAAGATGTTGAGTGATTAGATATGAAAATGATTAAAAAATTAGCAAATCATTTCTATATTCAAAATTAAAATAACAATTTTCAACACAATATTTCATACTCACAATATATGTATTTTTGAATAAAAATTAATTTAATTGATAAGAAATTGTAAAATTAATTCTTCAAGATGATAGAGAAATGATCTATAAATGAGGTTGTACAGTGATTCTATTTCAAACATTATAGTTGAAGCAAATTGTTTCTGTGTTGCTAAGAAACTGAAACTGTTTTTTCTCCGACACTCCGCGAAGAGTTTGCTGAGCATGTCCCATTTAGGTTTAGTGTAAGCCTCTTGACAGTTGATTGGCTCAGATGTTAGCAGGACTTGGCAGTAGTTTGGATCGGGTTAGCTCGAAGTGGAGTGGCTGAGTTTTACTGAGATAACATTAGCTGGCGCTAGCGGCTACAACCAGGTTTCAACCACTCTTACGAGCTCCCAGAACCCAGTCAGTCATGGCCGGGAGTTTGAACAAACGGTGAGGGGTTTTCGATGAAGACTTTTGAGCTCGATTCAGCTTGTTTGAACCCTGTATGGTTGTGATTTCCTGCGTTTCATCCATGGATCCATGGATATCTATGTCACGTGCTGGCCTTTTAGGCGTTCAGGTACATTCCATACAATGGAGAAAGCCTTCTTAGTCTTCTCACCTCTCCGTTTCTCTACATCGCTACGTACCTATGTTAATATAGTCGTACGCCTCGAATGGCTTTGCGACACCATGCAATGCGCCTCTGCTACCTTTATATCATTCTACAAGGAAAGGTGATCAACTCATTTCCCTCCTAGCACCATGTAGACATCATATCATCCAATATGGCCTCTCATAAGCTTGAGCTTGCGGAATTACAGCGTCGACTGGCTGAAGCAGAACAAGCACGACTCGAAGCAGAACGAGTGCGCAATGAAGCAAAGGAGCAACTTGGGAGAGAGAAGGAGCGAGCTGACCGAATTGAGGCGGACTAGGCGTCAACGATCCTTGAGACCAACAGCGGCTGGTGTCAACGTTGTTGATTGAATCTGACCCTGCCAAGACTGCATCCGGATATGTTACATCAGCAGACAGGAAGTAGTTACTAACTAACTATCCACTAGCACTTTTATTATTCATGGGAAGATTTTCCGTTCAAACATGGCGAAATCTTCGGCCTGTTTATGGACCTTTTCTCGGATAAGCCACTATTTCCCTCCAAAACCGATGTTCTCGGTATCCGGCGTGACCTCTCACCCACTACCCGCAAGGATGAGCAGCACATTCGACCCTTTATCCGGAGCGCCATTGAGAAACCAGCGCAACGTGTGGTGATGGCTCATCTCCAACATGCTGGCAATCCAAATCGGTTTTCCTTCCGGAATAATGCATATAGTCTGGAGAGCAGGACCCCAGATGAAGAATCTGGCGAATACGAAGTCAGGCCACTTTCCAAAAAGAGGTCCTATGAAGGTAAAATTATACGGCCACTTCCTGATCGTTGGGGCATTTACGACTCCACGTCTGGAAATGTTCGCCGTGTCTATGTGGGGGAGTACAAAGCAGCCCACAAGATACAAACCGAGGGAATCCAAAATGTTCTAACCACTCCATCCTCAGAACTATTCCTGGAAGTCCTTCGCCGAAAGCAGTCCGGAAGTGCCAATTCCGATTTAGAAAACACTCGGGAGAAGGTGGCTCAAGTTCTCTGCCAGACATTCCATTACATGATCGCAAGTAAGCCGTTTTATATGGGTATGTTGCATCGGGAGAGAATCTG